AACGAGTCGTAACAACACCGAAACAATATACGAAGATTAATAAATTTATTCGTTTGTTCGTACATACGTTTGTTTGTTTGTTTGATTTTCAATGTCGTTAAATTGATAACGATGACGTCAAATATTATTTATATATTTTATTATTAATCTATCCATCATCATCATCATTATTATTGTTAATGGAATATTTTTTTTCCCTTTTTTCGGGCGTAAAAAAGGTGTGCCCGTTAATAATTTTGATTGATTTTCTCTTTTAACAAAACAAACAAAAACAAACAAACAAACAAAACAAACAAATAAGACGACAAAAAAAAATAAAACGAGTTTAAAATGATTAAAAACGGAAGTTAAAAAAAACAAGCAACAACAACAACAATTATAATAACGATATTCGAAAGCCGACAAATCCAAGATTTTTAAAAGGTTAAAAAAAAAAAAAACGTGGAAGTAGAAAGGGAAAAAAATCGTGTATAAAACAACCTTATTATTAATTTTCACGAGATTGCGAAGAAATTAAAATTTAATTTTTTTTTTTTAATTCGAAAAAAAAAAAAAACTAAGTTATAGAATGATGACGTCACTCGTTTCGATGAAAACTTAAAATAAGAAAAAAGGAGAGGAGCGGGGGGGAAGAGGGCGCCATTTTATTTCTATCCATCCCCTTCTCGACACCAATAAAATAATTTTTTTTCTTCGTTTAAAAATTTTTCTTAAAAATTTCCATCCGACGTCGAAAATTTTTTTTTTTTAATTTTTCGGTTCCTTCGGGAATCCTTAAAAGAATAAAAAACAGTTCCCGGCATTAAAACGTGATTCCGAAACGTTGGATAAGGCTGCCACCTCCCTCCTTCCCACCTTCCACCCACTTTATCCGGAGGGGGTGTTTTTTTGTTTTTTCCGCGGATTTTACAAAAAGAAACCTTTTTTTTTTGTTTTTTATTTTTCGTTTCTCTCTGATTTTTTTTTTTTTTCAAATTTTAATTATTTGAATAAAACCGTAAAAGAATATTTTTTCATTCTCGTCTGCTTCCACGTTTTTTTTCGTTTTAAGAAACTGCGCCCCCCCCCCTTTCGCCATAGAGAAAACTAACGCCTTTTTTATTTATTTATATTCATTGTTTTTTTTTTTTTTTTTGTTTTACGTTTCGTCTGCTTTTTTTATTTTTATTTTCTACATCCACGTTTTTTCGCCGTAGTTTGCGTATTTGATTTTTTCAGTTTTGTTTTCCCTTCACCTCTTTCTCCCCTCCTCATTCCCCTACCACCTCTTCTCCGCCTACCGAAATTTTTAATTAACTCTTTTAGATTTTTCCTTCTTTTTTTTTTCCTCGGAAAATTTTTCTCTCGAATTTTCTTTTCTTTTCTTTTATTTTCCTTCTTTCTCTCTTTCTTTCTTTGCGAATCCGATTCAATCGTGACACGTTGATAAAATGATAGAAATTTTTTCTTCACGACAAAGAAAAGAAAAGAAAAGGAAAAAAAAAAATTTCGCATATTTGAAATTTTTTATTTAATTCCGAAAGGAACCGGGGGGCTGGGAAAACCGGAAAAAGACGAAAATAATAATAATTATTCGTGATTTTCCACGAAAATAAATAAAAATGAAAAAGAACGTGTGGGTAGTAGAATTTTTTTTTTAAATTTCATCTCCTCATATTTTTTTTTTTTTGTTATTTCTCCCTACGCTGTTGTTTATGTTGATGTTGTTGTTGTTGTTGTTGTTGCCTTTTCCGTTTCCTCTTTTTTCCAGATTTTTTTTTGTTGTAACCGCCATATTTAAAACGGTTTTTAAAACCTTCGTAGATGAAAAAAACCGTAGGAAAACAATTTTTATTTATTTTTTTTGATACTCTTTCTCTTTCATTATTTCCTCCTTTCCCCCACCTCTCTCTTTCTCTCTCTTTTACCATTCATCCTTTTATCCTTCCGTGATTAAATTACCCGGTTTAATGTCAACCGCACGCTCGTTTACACATTTAAACTTTTTTGCTGAATCGTAGCAAAAAAAAAAAAAAAAAATTCAGATTTATTGATTTTAAATAAAAAAAAAATTTTTTTTTTTTTTTTTGTGTGTGCGTTCAGAACCCCCGGAAATTTTTGTCGACGTTTTATTAAATTATCTTTTTATCTATTCACAATTGATTTCTACTGCTACCATCACCATCACCACCAACACCATCATCATCACCACCACCACAACCACCGTCATCGTCACCATCATTATCATCATCATCGATTTTATAATCCGGATTAAAACAAAAAAAACGCGAAAAAACTTTTTCGAGACTTAAAATTTAAAACCCCTTAAAAAAAAAAAAAAAAACGAATCCGAAGCCAAATTCGATATGGAAGCCGATGGAAGTCGATGGAAGCCAATGGAAGCAAAAAAAAAAAAAAAAAGTCACGAAGAACAACGACAGCAATTAAAATCAATCGGCAAAAACGAGGCAAAAAAAAACTTTTTTTTTTTTACTACTTTTCATAATCCGTTAATGAGCTTTTCCCCCCCACTCTCTCACCTTTACGGGAGAGGGAGGGGTAGGAGGGGGGAGCAAATGAAAATGGTTTCGGGAAAAAAGTAAATTTGAACGGGAAAACTTAATTCCGATTAGGGTCATAGGTATATATAAAGAAATCGAAATAATAATCGTGTGGATTAATAATGTCTTTCCGTAGGTCCCCCTCCCCCCCCCCCCAAAAAAAAAATAAAAAGACTTACTTGCAATAAAACAATCGATTGTCGTGTGTCAAATGTACCGACCATCCAGGTTTTAATCTCTGTTGTATTTCTTCTAATGGATCAACCCCGGAATCTTTCGAGGCCGAGGAAGCCAGCGCGGGGCTCCCATTTTGCCCCTGCTGCAGCAACATCGGCAAATGAATACGTCATCAAAATCTAAAAAAAAAAAACACAAACGCTCATTATCATTATCATTACTTTTCTGTTTTTTTTTTAAACGTGACGTCATCATTTCCGTCTCAATTTATTAATTTTTTTTTCTTCCTTATGAGTATTACTAAACAAAAAAAAAATTAATATTATCAAACGTAAGACGAAAAGAGAGCGAGAGAGAGAGAGAGAGAGGAGGGAAGGGAGGGGGGGAGAAATTTTAAAAATAAAAATGTCGGACCTCCAACATTACAAAAAAAAAAAAAAAAATTTCTCCCCTTTTAACTTGTTTTTTTTTTTTTTTTTTGTTTATTTTTAATCCGACTAATCCTCTTTAACTTAGTCTCTATATAAAACACTCTTCACACTCTTCAAATCAAGTTTATACCGTTTCATTATCATCATCATCATCATCATCATCATCATTATTATTATTATTATTATTAAAAAGCGGAAAAGGAAAAACAAAATCGTTATAAACGACGTAATAATAATGATGATGACGATGACGACGACGATGTTTTCATACCTTTTGATATACATTTGTAAAAATTCGATGCGAATAGTTTTGACCGGATGGAAAGCAGAAGGAAAGAGTGAGGGAGAGGGAGAAAGAGAGAGAGAGAGAGGGACAAAAAGGAAAAAAGAGATAGAAAGAGGGATAGAAAGACGGAAAAAAACAGAGAGAAAATCATTCGCAACAACAAAAATCATTTGAGAAAATTTCAAATATATACGTATAAAAATCGTTATGACGTAGTATATCCGGTTTTAAATAATAATAATAATGGTAGTAGAAGTGGTAGTGGGTAGTGGTAGTGCTGGGGGTGGTAGTAAAAAGACAAACTAACAAATCCGTCGAGTTTTAACTTTCTCTCAACGAAGTAAAAAAAAAAAAAAAAAAAAAAAAGGTTGATTTAACTTTAAATAAAATCATCGTCACGACAGTGACAATATAAATTTAAATAATTTTACGAATAATAATAATAATAATAATAATAAAATTTTCGGAAAAGGACGGAAAATAGAGAGAGAGAGAGAGAGAGAGAGAAACATTTTATGACGGTTGAAACCTTTTTTTCTTTTTCATTTTCTATTTTCCACGATAGACAAAACCCGACGTGCTTTTTTTTTTTTTTTTTTTTTTTTTTTTATTTCGACATCAAATTCCTCCATCTTTGTTTTTTTTTTACAAAAAAGGAAACGTGAACGTCCACCTACTTCCGGTTAAATATATTTATGTGAACTTAAGTGCGAGTCCACATAAATTAACAAAAACAACAACTTTTACAAAAAAAAAATAAATAAATAAGGAGGAAGAGTATGAAATAAAGAGAGAGAAAGATAGATAGATGGAGAGTACGGAAGTGAGAGAGAGAGAGAGAGCGAGAGAGGGAGGAACAAGCAAAAGCTTTTTAACTTAACAACAGCATTTAATTATTTGTTCCCCCCTTCCCACAAACCGATTTCCGTTACAAATATTTTTAAAAACGTAAGTCATAAGAAAAAAAATGTTTTTTTTTTTTGTCGTCTGCTTCGTATTAGAAAATGACGTCATTATCATCGTTATCATAAATATAAATTTTTAAATTGCGGTTAAAAAACCGATAAAGAAAAAAAAATATTAATAATAATAATAATAATAATACACACATCGCGAGTAGTTTTCTTATTTTCTCTCTCTTTCTTCGGACACGTTCCTTTTTTTTTCCATCGAGCCCCCCTTCCCTTCACATACCTCCCCAAATAATAAAAAAAAAAGGAATAAAACCTTCACCTCTAATATCTCTGATTGTTTCCTTTCTTTTCCTTTCCTTTCATTCCATTTATTTTATCATTGTTTGACCTTTCCTTTGAGTGTAATAATTTACGACCTTGAAAATAAATTTTTAAATTCTTCTTCCTTTCCTATAAATAAATTTTTTTCATCGCCCATTTTATTTTTTTTTTTTTTACGTGGCAGAAGATGAATGGTTTTCTTTTTTTTTTTTTTTCTTCCCAACTCAAACGTTTTAAGGTTCTTATCATCACTCGTGTGAGTACGTGCTTGCGTGTGTAGGGAGGGGAAGGGGGGTAAAGAAGGAATCGTTTCGTTATTAAAAAATCTCAAAGTGATCGATTGAATTTTTTAAAAATTTTCTCCTTCCACGACAAAAATTTTCCCATCTCGGTTTTTCTCTCAATCACGTAAATTTTTTTTCCTTTTTTTTTTTTACGTTTAAATTGCTGACGATTTTCCTCTCTCGCTTCATTGTTATGAATTTTTATTATTTTTTTTCTCTTCTTTCCTTTTTTCCTTTTTGTTCTTTTTGTTCTTCGTGACGTATTTTATTTTTTCCTTTTTTAGACTTTTCTCCCGATTCATCATCATCCTCGTTTTTTTTCCGTTGTCATTTTCTCTACTCTACGACTATCATTTCCTTTGATTTGATTTTCTTTCTATTCTTTCTTCTTCTATTTTTTTTTTCTCAAAGACACAGATTCATTCATTCATTCATTTAATCAGTCATTCATTCATTCATTCATTCGTTCGCATATAAATTTTATTAAATCATTTCAATGGAATTAAACGAAATTAAATTTTTTTTGTTTTTCCAAAAAGAAAATTAAATCTCTATGGGATTAATGTTTATCTTATGTTTTTTTTTTGTTTGCTGTTGTTGTTGTTTTTGTTTTTGAAATATAATAATAATAATAATAATAATAATAATAATAATAATAATAATAATAATAATAATAATTAGAAAAAAAAGAGAGAGAGGGAGAAAGAAGAGAGAGAACTTAATCAGTTCCGACAACGTTTTTGAATAATAATAATAATAATATTATCTTTTACGGTTTTCTACGCTATTAACTCATCCATTAAATAATTTATTAATTTATTTTTTTTTTTGAAAAAAAAAAACCTTTTTCTACGAACGACCTTTTTTTCCTATCCTTTCCTTTCGTTTCCATTCCTTTTTAATCTTTTTTTCTAATATGTTTCTTTTTTTTCGATTTGCGCAATCACGTGCACGAACCCACACACGCACATTCTTCAACCGTAAATTTCGTTTTTTTTTTTTTCAACCCTCATCGTCACGTGGGAATAAAACCTTTTTTTTTCACCCTTATCAATAATTGATAACAAATAAACATTCATTCATTCGATCATTCATAAGTGATGATGATATTTGTGTCCGGTTGTTTCTAACTCGACTTTTTATATAAAAAAAAAAAAGAAGAAAACAAACGAATCATTAAAATGACGTCACAAATAAAAAATGACGAAGTCAAGGAAGAAGAGGTTTAAGCTTAATTGTTATTTTCTCATTTAATGACACGACATTTTTTTTACCGAAATTACCAAAAAAAAAAAAAAAAACATAAACGTAAACGTAATTTGTTCGTTAAAAAAAATTATCATTATTATTATTATTATTAATATCGTCGTAAATGAAATTAAATAAAGTTTTTCTCTCATTGAATATTGTATTTGTTTGCCTTATTGATCTTAAATATTTTTTTATCTCGTCCTACGCTCTCTCTCTCTCTCGCTCGCTCGCTCTTTCTATACATCCTCGTTTTTCCTTTTTTGTTTCTTGTCCGTCTGTTTTTGCAATCGATAAAAAATAAATAAAAAAAAAATTGTTTTCCGATTTGAGAAAATCTCTGCTCAACAATAATAACAAACGAACAAAAACAAACGGCAAAAAAATCGAAAAAAAAAAACGATTTAAATATCGAAACACGAAAACAAATAATTAAATTTTCTTTATAATTAAGTAACATAAAATTGATGCGAATTGAAAGTAGAGAGAGAGAGAGAGAGAGAGAGAGAGAAAGAGAAACACGCACACAAACACACAGAAAGAGGAACAGAAAAACAGACACAGAAAAAGAAAGAGAAAGACTGAATGAAAGACAGAGAGAAAGAGAAACACACACACACACACACACATACACAGAGAGAGAGAGAGAGAGAGAAACACATTCATAGAGAGAGAAAGAGAGAGAGAGAAACACATTCATAGAGAGAGAGAGAGAGAGAAACACACTCACAGATAGAAAAAGAAAAACACAGACAAAGAAAGAAAAACACACACTCACAGAGAGAGAGAGAAAGAGAGAAAACAAAACCACACCTTCGCTTGCTTGTTTGTTTGTTCGTTTGTTTGTTTGTTTTTGAGTACAACATATAAAACACTATAACGTTAATAAAAAGAAAAGGAAAAATTAAAATGAAAATGAAAATGAAAATGAAAGGATTTCGAGTTTTCGTTTTGAAAGTGTCATTAGAATTATTTTTAAAAAAAAATTTTTTTTATTTTTTTTTTTTAATTCGGTCAAAGGTTTTCTCTTTTTCCTTTTTTATTTATTTATTTATTTAAAAAAAAAAACCTTCTCGTAAATTCGATTAAGTAAATAAAAAAAAAAAAAAATTCAACTTTTTTTTTAACATCGAGTTTAAGTTTTTTTTATTTTTCATTTAAAAAAAAAAAAGTAAAAATTTACTTCATAAACAACAACAACAACAACAACAGCAACAGCAGCAACAACAACAACAACAACAAACACCAATTAAAAAAAAAAAAAAAGTAAAACTTTTTTTAAAGTTTTTTTTTTAATTTTTAATTTTTTTTTTTTTTTTTTATACATATAAATACAAACGTGGAAGTAGAAAATGATAAAATAAAACAATCAGTAACAGATGTCGCGATACATTTTTTCTTTTTTTTTTGTTTAAATAATAAAAACAAATAAAAAATTAATGCGACAAAAAAAGAAAAGAGTCAAAGGAATGGAGAAAAAGGTTTCGTTTTCGTTTTTGAATCAATAAAAACAAACTGACAACCATCATCATCATCATCATCATCATCATCATCATCATCATCATCATCATCATCATTTCCTTTGAATGGATAAACATTGCAAAAATAAAACTCACAGGTTTCTTCCTTCCTTTTAAATTTGTTTGCCAAAAAAAAAAAATTTTTTTTTT